CCCCCCAAATTCCCATTTTTTCCCCCAAAATTCCCATTTTTCCCCCAAATTCCCATTTTATTCCCATTTTCCACCCCAAAATTCCCATTTTATTCCCCAAAATTCCCATTTTCCCCCCTAAAATTCCCCTTTTTTCCCCCAAAATTCCCATTTTCCCCCCTAAAATTCCCATATTTCCCCCCAAATTCCCATTTTTTCCCCCCGCACTCCCGTCTTATTCCCGTTTTTCCGTACCCCCAGGCCTCTTTTCCGCCTTTTTCCTTCCCCTGCAGGAATTTCGGGATCCGGACGCCCACGGAGCATCCGAGCCTCACCAGGAGACTCCGGAAAAGTCTTGGGAATTTTTCCAGGACGGCTCCGGAACATTCCGGAACCGCCAGGAGCTCGTCCAGGCCTCGCGTCACCTTCCGAGGGAACACAAAAAAAAAAAAACCGGGAATATCCCGGGAAAAAAAAACTCGGGAAAGGATTTTTCCAGCTTTTCCTGGAGTTTCAGCCCCGCAGGGAATTCCAGGATTTTCCAGGGATTTGGGAATTTTCCAGGGATTTGGGGGATTTTCCTTGGATTTTGGGGTTTTTCCTGTTGGAATTCCCAGATTTTGGCATTTTTCCTGTTGGAATTCCCAGATTTTGGGAATTTTCCTTGGATTTGGGGTTTTCCCTGCCAGGAATTCCCAGATTTTGGGGGATTTTCCTGCCCAGAATTCCCAGATTTTGGGGTTTTTCCTGCTGGAATTCCATGGATTTGGGAATTTTCCAGGAATTTAGGAATTTTCCTTGGATTTGGGGTTTTTCCTGTTGGAATTCCCAGATTTTGGGGGATTTTCCTGCCCGGAATTCCCAGATTTTGGGAATTTTCCTGTTGGAATTCCTTGGATTTGGGAATTTTCCTGGGATTTGGGGTTTTTCCTGTTGGAATTCCCAGATTTTGGGGGATTTTCCTTGGATTTTGTGGTTTTCCCTGCCAGGAATTCCCAGATTTTGGGGGATTTTCCTGCCCGGAATTCCCAGATTTTGGGGTTTTTCCTGTTGGAATTCCAGGATTTGGGAATTTTCCAGGGATTTGGGGGATTTTCCTTGGATTTTGGGGTTTTTCCTGTTGGAATTCCCAGATTTTGGGGGATTTTCCTGCCCAGAATTCCCAGATTTTGGGGTTTTTCCTGTTGGAATTCCATGGATTTGGGAATTTCAACAGGAATTTGGGGAATTTTCCTTGGATTTTGAGGTTTTTCCTGCCAGGAATTCCCAGATTTTTGGGTTTTTCCTGCTGAGAATTCCATGGATTTTTTCCAGTATTTTGGGAATTTTCCAGGGATTTGGGAATTTTTCCCTGGATTTGGGGAATTTTCCCTGGATTTGGGGTTTTTTTCTGCTGGAATTCCAAGATTTTGGGGTTTTTCCTGTTGGAATTCCATGGATTTGGGAATTTTCCAGGAATTTGGGGAATTTTCCTTGGATTTGGGAATTTTCCCTGGATTTGGGGTTTTTTTCTGCTGGAATTCCAAGATTTTGGGGGTTTTCCTCTTGGAATTCCATGGATTTGGGAATTTTCCAGGAATTTGGGGAATTTTCCTTGGATTTGGGAATTTTCCCTGGATTTGGGGTTTTTTTCTGCTGGAATTCCAAGATTTTGGGGGTTTTCCTCTTGGAATTCCATGGATTTGGGAATTTTCCAGGAATTTGGGGAATTTTCCTTGGATTTGGGAATTTTCCCTGGATTTGGGGAATTTCCCTTGGATTTGGGGTTTATTTCCCGCCAGGAATTCCCAGATTTTTGGGCTTTTCCTGCTGAGAATTCCATGGATTTTTTCCAGTATTTTGGGAATTTTCCTTGGATTTGGGAATTTTCCCTGGATTTGGGGAATTTCCCTTGGATTTGGGGTTTTTTTCCCGCCAGGAATTCCCAGATTTTGGGGTTTTCCTTGGGAATTTTCCCACCTGGAAATTTTTTCCCCTTTGGAATTTTTTCCTCCTGGATTTTTTCCCCCGGGAATTTGAGAATCCCTCTGGAATTCTGGAGTTCCTCTGGAATTCCAGGAATTCCTCTGGAATTCCTCTGGAATTCTGGAATCCCTCTGGAATTCTGGGAATCACTCTGGAATTCTGGGAATCCCCCTGGAATCCCTCTGGAATTCCAGGAATTTCTCTGGAATTTCTCTGGAATCCCTCTGGAATTCTGAGAATCCCTCTGGAATTCGGGAATTCCCCTGGAACTCCTCGGGAATCCCTCTGGAATTCTGAGAATCCCTCTGGAATTCTGGAGTTCCCCTGGAACTCCTCTGGAATCCGGAAATACCTCTGGAATTCCCCTGTAATCCCTCTGGAATTCTGGGAATCCCTCTGGAATCCCTCTGGAATCTGGGAATTCCCCGGGAATCCCTCTGGAATTCCGGGAATCCCTCTGGAATCTGGGAATCCCTCTGGAACTCCTCTGGAATTCCGGGAATCCCTGTGGAATTCCGGGAATCCCTCTGGAATCCCTCTGGAATCCCTCTGGAATTCTGGGAATTCCTCTGGAATCCCTCTGGAATTCTGGAATCCCTCTGGAATTCTGGGAATTCCTCTGGAATTTCTCTGGAATCCCTCTGGAATTCTGGGAATCTCTCTGGAATTCTGGGAATTCCTCTGGAATCCCTCTGGAATCCCACTGGAATCTGGGAATCCCTCTGGAATTCCAGGAATCCCTCTGGAATCCCACTGGAATCTGGGAATTCCTCTGGAATTTCTCTGGAACTCCTCTGGAATCCGGGAATCCCTCTGGAATCCCTCTGGAATTCTGAAATTCCTCTGGAATTCTGGAATCCCTCTGGAATTCCGGGAATCCCTCTGGAACCCCACTGGAATCTGGGAATCCCTCTGGAATTTCTCTGGAATCCCTTTGGAATTTGAGAATCCCTCTGGAATTCGGGAATTCCCCTGGAATCCCTCTGGAATTCCGGGAATCCCTCTGGAATTCTGGAATCCCTCTGGAACTGGGGAATTCCCCTGGAATCCCTCTGGAATTCCGGGATTTCCCCTGGAATACTCACGGCCAGCCCCGGGGCCGTGGCCACGCGCTCGGCGCCGCTTCCCAGCGGGAATTTCTTCTCCTTGTAGGGAATTTCCGCATCCAACTTTTCCAGGAGCAGCTCCAGGATTTGGGAATTCAGCGCCGGCTCCGTCCCCAGCGCCCTCCACATGGAGCAGGTGGAGCTGCAAAATTCCCGGGAAATCCCCGGAATTCCGGGGGGAAAAATTGGGAATTTTTAGGATTTTTTAGGAGTTTTTTTGAGACTTTGTCGGGAATTTTTTAGGAATTTTTTAGGACTTTTTTAGGATTTTTTTGGGAATTTTTTAGGAAGTTTGATGGGAAAAGTGGGGATGGGGGGGTGGGAATTGGAATTTTTGGGAATTTGGGGCTGGAATTCTGGGAATTAGGGATGGAATTTTGGGATTTGGGGTTGGATTTTTGGGAATTTGGGCCGGGTTTTTGGGATTGGGGCTGGAATTCTGGGAATTTGGGCCGGGTTTTTGGGAATTTGGGCCGGATTTTTGGGATTTGGGCCAGATTTTTGGGAATTTGGGCCGGATTTTTGGGAATTTGGGCTGTAATTTTGGGATTTGGGGTTGGATTTTTGGGAATTTGGGCCGGATTTTTGGGGATTTGGTCTGGATTTTTGGGATTTGGGCCGGATTTTTGGGAATTTGGGCTGGAATTTTGGGATTTGGGCTGGATTTTTGGGAATTTGGGCCGGATTTTTGGGAATTTGGGCCGGACTTTTGGGAATTTGGGCCGGATTTTTGATAATTTGGGCCGGATTTTTGGGAATTTGGGCTGGATTTTTGGGAATTTGGGCCGGACTTTTGGGATTTGGGCCGGATTTTTGGGATTTGGGCCGGATTTTTGGGATTTGGGCCGGATTTTTGGGAATTTGGGCTGGATTTTTGGGAATTTGGGCCGGATTTTTGGGATTTGGGCCGGATTTTTGGAATTTGGGCCGGATTTTTGGGAATTTGGGCCGGATTTTTGGGATTTGGGCCGGATTTTTGGGATTTGGGCCGGATTTTTGGGATTTGGGCCGGATTTTTGGGATTTGGGCCGGATTTTTGGAATTTGGGCCGGATTTTTGGGAATTTGGGCCGGATTTTTGGGAATTTGGGCCGGATTTTTGGGATTTGGGCTGGATTTTTGGGATTTGGGCCGGATTTTTGGGATTTGGGCCGGATTTTTGGGATTTGGGCCGGATTTTTGGGAATTTGGGCCGGATTTTTGGGATTTGGGCCGGATTTTTGGGATTTGGGCCGGATTTTTGGGAATTTGGGCCGGATTTTTGGGAATTGGGCTGGATTTTTGGGATTTGGGCCGGATTTTTGGGAATTTGGGCCGGATTTTTGGGAATTGGAGCCAGATTTTTGGGATTTGGGCTGGATTTTTGGGAATTTGGGCTGGATTTTTGGGATTTGGGCCAGGTTTTTGGGAATTTGGGCCGGATTTTTGGGAATTGGAGCCGGATTTTTGGGAATTTGGGCTGGATTTTTGGGAATTTGGGCCGGATTTTTGGGAATTTGGGCCGGATTTTTGGGAACTTGGGCCGGATTTTTGGGATTTGGGCTGGATTTTTGGGAATTTGGGCCGGATTTTTGGGATTTGGGCCGGATTTTTGGGAATTTGGGCCGGATTTTTGGGAATTTGGGCCGGATTTTTGGGAATTTGGGCCGGATTTTTGGGAATTTGGGCCGGATTTTTGGGAATTTGGGCCGGATTTTTGGGAATTTGGGCCGGATTTTTGGGAATTTGGGCCGGATTTTTGGGAATTTGGGCCGGATTTTTGGGAATTTGGGCCGGATTTTTGGGAATTTGGGCCGGATTTTTGGGAATTTGGGCCGGATTTTTGGGAATTTGGGCCGGATTTTTGGGAATTTGGGCCGGATTTTTGGGAATTTGGGCCGGATTTTTGGGAATTTGGGCCGGATTTTTGGGAATTTGGGCCGGATTTTTGGGAATTTGGGCCGGATTTTTGGGAATTTGGGCCGGATTTTTGGGAATTTGGGCCGGATTTTTGGGAATTTGGGCCGGATTTTTGGGAATTTGGGCCGGATTTTTGGGAATTTGGGCCGGATTTTTGGGAATTTGGGCCGGATTTTTGGGAATTTGGGCCGGATTTTTGGGAATTTGGGCCGGATTTTTGGGAATTTGGGCCGGATTTTTGGGATTTGGGCCGGATTTTTGGGATTTGGGCTGGATTTTTGGGAATTTGGGCCGGATTTTTGGGATTTGGGCCGGATTTTTGGGAATTTGGGCCGGATTTTTGGGATTTGGGCCGGATTTTTGGGATTTGGGCTGGATTTTTGGGAATTTGGGCCGGATTTTTGGGATTTGGGCCGGATTTTTGGGAATTTGGGCCGGATTTTTGGGATTTGGGCCGGATTTTTGGGAATTTGGGCCGGATTTTTGGGATTTGGGCCGGATTTTTGGGAATTTGGGCCGGATTTTTGGGAATTTGGGCCGGATTTCGGGATTTGGGCTGGATTTTTGGGAATTTGGGCCGGATTTTTGGGAATTGGAGCCAGATTTTTGGGAATTTGGGCTGGATTTTTGGGAATTTGGGCCGGATTTTTGGGAATTTGGGCTGGATTTTTGGGAATTTGGGCCGGATTTTTGGGAATTTGGGCCAGATTTTTGGGATTTGGGGTTGGATTTTTGGGATTTGGGCCGGATTTTTGGGATTTGGGCCGGATTTTTGGGAATTTGGGCCGGATTTTTGGGATTTGGGCTGGATTTTTGGGAATTTGGTCTGGATTTTTGGGAATTTGGGCTGGATTTTTGGGAATTTGGGCCGGATTTTTGGGATTTTGGCCGGATTTTTGGGAATTTGGGCCGGATTTTTGGGAATTTGAGCCGGATTTTGGGGAATTTGGCCTGGAATTTCCTGGGATTTGATCCGGAATTCTCCCACCCGCTGCCGGATTCTCGGGAATGGGAATTTTTGGGGAACGTTGGGAATTTTTCCCGGACCTGTCGAAGGGCAGGGAGCTTCCCAGGAGCGCGGAGACGATTTCCCGGGAATGTTGGAGCGCCAGGATGAGCAGGGATTGCTGAGCCGCCCTCCGGAGCTGCTCCTCCTCCGGGAATTGCAGCTTGGAACGGATCCAGGCCAGCAGATCCGGAACCTGCGGAAAAATCCCGGGAAAAAAACGAAAAACTCGGGAAAAGAGAGGGGGGAGGGGAGGGTTGGGATTCCTGGAATTCCGTGGGATTCCTTCTTTGGGCTGGGATCCCAAAATTTCCTGGAATTTCATGGAATTCTCTCCTAGAAAGTTTGGAAAATCCAGAATTTGATGGGATTGAACCCCCAAAAATTCCTGGAATTCCCTGGAATTCTCTCCTAAAAAGTTTGGGAAAATGGGAATTTGATGAGATCGAACCCCAAAAATTCCTGGAATTCCGTGGGATTCCTTCTTTGGGCTGGGATCCCAAAATTTCCTGGAATTTCATGGAATTCTCTCCTAGAAAGTTTGGAAAATCCAGAATTTGATGGGATTGAACCCCCAAAAATTCCTGGAATTCCGTGGGATTCCTTCTTTGGGATGGGATCCCAAAAATTCCTGGAATTCCATGGAATTCTCTCCTAAAAAGTTTGGGAAAATCGGGAATTTGATGGGATTGAACCTCCAAAAATTCCTGGAATTCCCTGGAATTCTCTCCTAGAAAGTTTGGAAAAGGTGGAATGAAATCCTAAAAATTCCTGGAATTCCGTGGGATTCCTTCTTTGGGCTGGGATCCCAAAAATTCCTGGAATTTCCTCTTTGGAAGTTCGGGAAAATGGGAATTTGATGGGATTGAACCTCCAAAAATTCCTGGAATTCCCTGGAATTCTCTCCTAGAAAGTTTGGAAAAGGGAATGAAATCCTAAAAATTCCTGGAATTCCGTGGGATTCTTTCTTTGGGATCAGATCCCAAAAATTCCTGGAATTCCCTGGAATTCTCTCCTAAAAAGTTTGGAAAAGGTGGAATGAAATCCTAAAAATTTCTGGAATTCCGTGGGATTCCTTCTTTGCGGTGAGATCCCAAAAATTCCCGGAATTCCATGGAATTCTCTCCTAAAAAGTTTGAAAAAGGGAATGAAATCCTAAAAATTCCTGGAATTCTGTGGGATTCCTTCTTTGCGGTGAGATCCCAAAAATTCCTGGAATTTCATGGAATTCTCTCCTAGAAAGTTTGGAAAAATCAGGAATTTGATGGGATCGAACCCCAAAAATTCCTGGAATTCCGTGGGATTCCTTCTTTGGGATCAGATCCCAAAAATTCCAGGAATTCCCTGGAATTCTCTCCTAAAAAGTTTGGAAAATGGGAATTTGATGGGATCGAACCCCAAAAATTCCTGGAATTCCCTGGAATTCTCTCCTAAAAAGTTTGGAAAATCCAGAATTTGATGGGATCGAACCACAAAAAAATTCCTGGAATTCCGTGGGATTCCTTCTTTGCGGTGAGATCCCAAAAATTCCTGGAATTTCATGGAATTCTCTCCTAGAAAGTTTGGGAAAATCCAGAATTTGATGGGATTGAACCTCCAAAAATTCCTGGAATTCCTTGGAATTCTCTCTTAGAAAGTTTGGAAAAGGGAATGAAATCCTAAAAATTCCTGGAATTCCGTGGGATTCCTTCTTTGGGATCAGATCCCAAAAATTCCTGAAATTCCATGGAATTCTCTCCTAAAAAGTTTGGAAAAGGGAATGAAATCCTAAAAATTCCTGGAATTCCGTGGGATTCCTTCTTTGGGATCAGATCCCAAAAATTCCAGGAATTCCATGGAATTCTCTCCTAAAAAGTTTGGGAAAATCGGGAATTTGATGGGATCGAACCTCCAAAAATTCCTGGAATTCCTGGAGATTTTTAGGAATTTTTGGGGATTTTTGGGGAATTTGGGGGGATTTTTCTGAATTTTCTGTGAATTTTTGGGAATTCTTGGGAATTGTTGGGGATTTTTGGGACTTTTGGGGGTTTTTGGGGAGTTTTTAGGAATTTTCTGGGAATTTTTTGTGAGTTTTTGGGAATTTTGGGGGGTTTTTGGGGAGTTTTTAGGAATTTTTGGGGAATTTTTAGGAATTTTGGGGGAATTTTTGGGAATGTCAGGGATTTTTTGGAAATGTTTGGGAATATTTTCCGGGACCTGTTCCTTGAGGAGAGCTCCTTGTTCCCAGAATTTTGGGGAATTTTGGGAATTGTGAATTTTTGGGAATTTTTGGGAATTTTTTTTGTCTTTTTCTGGAATTTCTGGGAATTTTTAGGAATTTTTTGGGGAATTTTTGGGAATGTTTTCCGGGAATTTTCCAGACCTGTTCCCTGAGGAGAGCTCCCCTCTCCCGGAGCCTGGGGAACGTTGGGAATTCGGGAATTATTGGGAATTTTTGGGAATTTTTTGGGAATTTTTGTGAATTTTTGGGGGATTTTTTTGGGGATTTTTTTGGGAATTTCTGGGAATTTTTGGGAATGTTTTCCGGGAATTTTCCAGACCTGTTCCCTGAGGAGAGCTCCCCTCTCCCGGAGCCTGGGGAACGTTGGGAATTCGGGAATTATTGGGAATTTTTGGGAATTTTTTGGGAATTTTTGTGAATTTTTGGGGGATTTTTTTGGGGATTTTTTTGGGAATTTCTGGGAATTTTTGGGAATGTTTTCCAGGAATTTTCCAGACCTGTTCCCTGAGGAGAGCTCCCCTCTCCCGGAGCCTGGGGAACGTTGGGAATTCGGGAATTTTTGGGAATTTTTGGGAATTTTTGGGAATTTTCGGGGATTTTTTTGGGGATTTTTTTGGGGATTTTTTTGGGAATTTCTGGGAATTTTTGGGAATGTTTTCCGGGAATTTTCCGGACCTGTTCCCTGAGGAGAGCTCCCCTCTCCCGGAGCCTGGGGAAAGTTGGGAATTCGGGAATTATTGGGAATTTTTCAGGATTTTTGTGAATTTTCGGGGATTTTTTTGGGGATTTTTTTGGGATTTTTTTGGGAATTTTTGGGAATTTTTGGGGGATTTTTTTGGGAATTTCTGGGGATTTTTTTGGGGATTTTTTTGGGAATTTCTGGGAATTTTTGGGAATGTTTTCCGGGAATTTTCCAGACCTGTTCCCTGAGGAGAGCTCCCCTCTCCCGGAGCAGGGCGTTGCAGAGGACGGAGGCGGCGCGGGAACAATTCCCGTCGGGATCTTCCCAAGCCTGGAAAAGCGAGCGCAGAAGCTCCGGGAGCTGCTCCGGGGGGAGGCGTCGGGCCAGGACCTGATCCGAGGGGAAAAAAAAATGGGAAAAGCCGGAATTCCCATGGGAATTCCAGGAAAAATCAAGAGGGGAAAAGAGGGAATTTAAAAAAAAAAAAAATCGGGAAAATTCGGGTGGAAATTGAAGGAAAAATTTAAGGAATTTTAGTTAAAATAAAGAGAAATTTAAAAAAAAATTGGCCGAAATGGTGGAAAATGAGCCCAAAAAATTCAAGTCAAATCCCTAAAAATGGTCACAAAAAATTCACCCAAAATCCAAAAAAAATCCCCCCCAAAGTTCCCCCAAAATCCTCCAAAATTTCCCCAAAATCCCCAGAAAAATCCCCCAAAAATTCCCCCAAATACCAAAAAATTCTCCCCAAATTCCCCCAAAATCCCAAAAAATTGTCCCAAAAAATTCACCTAAAATCTCAAAAAATGATCCCAAGAAATTCACCCAAAATCCCAAAAAATGATCCCAAAAAATTCCCCCAAAATCCCCCAAAAATTCCCCAAAATCCCAAAAAAAATCCCAAAAAATTCCCCCAAAATCCCCCCAAAATCCTCCCAAATCCCCCCAAAATTCCCCAAAATTTTCCCAAAAAATCCCAAAGAATTCCCTCCAAAATTCCCAAAAATTCCCCAAAATCCCAAAAAATGATCCCAAAAAATTCCCCCAAAATCCCCCAAAAATTCTCCCAAAATCCCAAAAAATGATCCCAAAAAATTTTCCCAAAATCCAAAAAAATCCTCCCAAATCCCCCCAAAATTCCCAAAAATTCCCCCAAAAATCCCAAAAAATTCCCCCAAAATTCCCCTAAATTTGCCCAAAATCCCAAAAAATTATCCCAAAAAATTCCCCCAAAATTCCCCCAAAATTCCCCAAAATCCCAAAAAATGATCCCAAAAAATT